AGTGTTGCAACAGATTGAATGCAGAAGCAGATAAGAGAACCAGGCTGTCTCCCAAATCAAGGAGATTTCCAAAAATGCGAAATAGTACCACTCTTCTCACTCAGTTTTTTGTTTTGGAAAACAGTTATTTTTGATTAAGGTTTTATTTATGTCAGCATATAATACATTTCTTGTTATTTTTAAATGAATGAATTGATATTTAAAACTTCTGTGTTTTGGTCAGGTGTGGTGGCTCATGCCTGTAATCCCAGCACTTTGGGAGGTTGAGGCGGGCAGATCACCTGAGGTCAGGAGTTAGAGACAGCCTGGGCAATGTGGTGAAACCCCGTCTCTACTAAAAATACAAAATTAGCGGGATGTGGTGGCACATGCCTGTATCCCAGCTACTCAGGATGCTGAGGCAGGAGATTTGCTTGAACCTAGGAAGCAGAGGTTACAGTGAGCTGAGATTGTGCCACTGCACTTCAGCCTGGGTGACAGGGGGAGACTGTGTCTCAATAAATAAATAAATAAATAAATAATTTCCTGTTTTAATTTCTAATGTGATAAATACAATAGCTATAACCCATGTTGACTAAAGCATTTTAGAATCTCAATAGTTTGCAGGAATGTCAAACCGAAAAGTTAGAGAATCACTCATCTAGTTTTATGTCTTGATATTCAGTGGATAATAAATCTTGGTTATGTGTGGCCCTGCACCCTGTGCATTTCCACATACATTTTAGAATTGGCTGTGATGTTCCACAAGAATACCTGTTAGGATTTTGATTGGAATTGTGTTGAATCCGTTTGGAATAATTGAAATTTTTTCGTTTTGTTTTGTTTTTAGTTACAGCTGCTGTAATGGGAATTTGAAATCTTTATACCATTGAATCTTCTGATTCATAAACATTATTTCTTCACGTGTTTTGGTTTTTAATTTTTTTCTCCATATTGTTACATAATTTTCCGTATAAAGGTTTTGTACATTTTCCAAACAGAATTTTTGAAGTAAAAAATTCTACTTCGAAATAAACTGGCCAGGCACAGTGGCTCATCCCTATAATCCCAGCACTTTGGGAGAGAGGCCAAGGTGGGAGGAACACCTGAGCCCAGGAGTTTGAGACCAGCTTGGGCAATACAGTGAGACCCTATCTCTACAAAGAAAAAGTAAGATAAACTTAAGAAGTAACAAGAAAATGAAAGATACTTTTGAAAAATATTACAGAACTTTACTGAAGCTCATAAAAGAATTGAATAAATGCTAAAACATATTTTGTTCTTGAATAGGATAGCTCTCACATTGATAAGATGTCAGTATGCCCTGTAAGTTGCCGTATTTTATATTGTTAGAAAGATACATTTTTTTTTTTTTTTTTTTTTTTAATGATTTCTAAAGTTAAGATATGCCTTAAAACTGATGACATCTTCCAGGTACTTCTGGCCAGGTGGTAATTATGAAGTTAGATTAGGAGCATCTTAACCAATTTATTTTACATAACTTTCCTTTCATTATAAGTACAAGTCAGATGTGATACGAAAACAGAAGCGTTTAAGCCTAAAGAAGCTCTTTCAATCGGCATAAAATAACTGTGCATCTTACATTGAAAATGTCTTAAATTTAGTGAAATAGGCCAGGCATAGTGGCTCGCTCTTAAAAGGAGTAAGGCAGTTCTAATGAAGTAATTTAGTAAAGTCTCTAAGGTATAGTAAATGAAAAGACCAAAGTGCATAAACAGTACGTGTAGCATGCTACAATTTGTGTATGGGCGTGTTTTATCTCAAAAGGCATATATTTGCAAGCTTGTATAGATCGAATATATTTGAAAAGATAAGAATATATCCTAACACTGGTCGTCTCTGAAGAGTGGAACTGAGTGGCCAGAAGCACAATTGGGTGGTACTTTCTATAGTAATTTGTGACTTAAATTTTTAAAAATTTTTAATTGTGATAAAATGCATATACCAAAACTTACCACCTTAAACATTTTTAAGGGTACAGTTCAGCAATGTTAGGTATATTCATATTGTACAACCAGTTTCCAAAACTTTTTCGTAGCCATTAGACAATTCCTTAGTACTTCCACCTACCCTCAGCAGTCACCATTCTACTTTCTGAGTCTATCAATTGGACTACTCTAGACAGCTCATGCAAGTGGAATCATATGGTATTTGTCCTTTTGTAACTGGTTTGTTTCACTTAGCACAATGTTCTCCAGGTCCATACTATTTTGTGACTTTTGAATTCTGTACTTTGTTCACTTATTACCCATTTTCAAAAGAGCATTAAAGTAAAAAGACATGACATTATTCAGAGCTGGTTAATTACATGGTAAAAAGTTGATGGCTGGTGTGTGTTTTTCATTTCAACCAATATTAAATGCCAGTTTGGGCAGCAAAGCAACTTTATGCCAAAGCGCCATTTGAAGCTGGGTTTGTGACGTGTTTCTCCTTTTGTCATCTATGGGTACCCCCAAAATGCAGGCTCAAATCCCCAGCCTCTTGACTCTGCTGAACAGTTTCCCCCTTTGGCTTACTGTCCAACTTTGGCCTACTCTTCCAAATCTACCTCTTTACCCCAGGAACAAGCTGCTTCTATGTCAATGGCATGGCTTCCTCTTTGCAGATTTTCCTCACATCTCTGACCTGGAAAAAGGTGGGGGGGTGTTCATTCTGCTAGCTTTTTTTTTTTTTTTTTTTTTTTTT